TTTATGTGTCACATGCGTAGCAAATTGTATTTGCCAAAATCATTGCCACAACTATAAATTTAACTTTTCAGGCCGAAATGCCGATCTGCCTGCTGGACCCAAATATTAACGCACGCAATTAAAATTCGACAGCATCGACAAAAAAAAAACCCGAGTGCCAAGTGACATTTTGAAACGCCATTTCTGACCCTTTTCCAAGCGATTGAATTGAATCCTGTTTGCCGAGCACAAAATAAAAGGAAAAACATAATAATGTAGAGAGTGGAAAATGCGTGCCGGAAAATGGCAGCAGTCTGAGTGAAATACAAAGTGCGTGCTGTGGATTGCTATTCTAGTAGCCATTGGGGGCCCTGGGATTACAGCTTGTGATTGGAAAATCTATGATGATCATTAATAAAAACAAGTGGACATTGTCGAAAATGCCGAACAATAACCGAAAAGACCAAATGCCTGCACTAATCAGGCTATCACGTTGGCAAATTCAAATGCAGATGCTGCTTATTATCATTCTGTGCTTGAGACTGTCTGCTGAGACTGAAACCTGGTCCTGTATGGTTGCCCGGCATCTTATGCATTATACGCACCACTTCAGTCTTTGTAAATATTATTTTAATATCTTGTCAGCCAACCAGATACCCCGCAAACGCCCTCATTCCCATACACACACTCACACAGGCATGCCCAGTAAGTTAGCTTACTTCGAGACATGAATGCTTTGACTTGTTGTTGGCTCTTGGCTGGTTTCTTGCTGTTTTCATTCCGTTCCAAACTTTGTGCAACAAGCAATGCTTCATTATAAGCTTCAGCGGTAAGGCCAGAGGTGATAAGCCCTGCCAGATGCAGGCAGTCAGCCAGCCAGCCAGCCAGGCAGCCTTTCTACCCAGTCAGCCATCCAAGCAGTCAAAACCAGGCAACTTCTTGTAGAGTAAACTTAATTTTATGTTTTCAGCTTTCACAGCCTCGCACAACACTTATACACACATATACACATGGCACTTGCTTGTACTTTGTATGAAATTTTACGAATATTTCATATATGAGTCGTGTGTATGTGTGTGATGTTGCCTTGCCTGTTGTTCTTGTCTTGTCGTGTCGCATCGTATCGCATGTTTTGTCAGCCGAAGTGGCTATGCAAAGACAAACAAACTAAAACAACAACAGCAGCATGAAGAAGACCAACAACAGCAACAAAGGCATTGCGCAAAAATGTTGTCAATCAACGTTACGGATAACAAGTTACACAAAGACTAGGGACTAAAGACAAAGACTAAAATTCAGCTGAATGCCATAAAGCTTTCAACTCAAAGGGTTTCAAATGCCATACGTAAATCCATGCCAATATTCTTAAATTCTTAGTAAAGTTCATATAGGTATTTGCAAACTTTTTTAATAACATATCAACTGTGTCTTACTTTAAATACTAGGCTAGAAATTTCTGAAGTTGGCACACAATACAAAACTATAAACTCTTTGATACGTCAACTTCATGCTTTTATGTGCATAAATTCAAATTCGAAAGCAAACAAATTTCTAAGAATTTTAATGGAGAGTCAAAAGAATTGATTTCATGCTGAATGCAGATTCGACTTATTTTAGAAATTAATCATGCGAGCAGTTGATGCACATTCCGATTGAAATGATTTAATGAAGGACATTAAAATTAATCAACGCTGAGTTGTGAATAAAACAAATATGACAGCTGTGCAGTCAACCCGAACAGAACCAACCGCCACACACCTCCACACACACAAACACACGCACACATTCTCACACACATGTCACAGTAGCCACATTTCAATTTTCGCCGTGTGCCATGTAATTTGCTTGGATAATTTATATGCACGCCGCGCGTATAGAAGATGCTCCCACAACAGGTTCATGCAGAGGTTCGGCTTCAGTAGCACGCCTCGAGTGCGAAATGAAATAAATTTTGCAGCATCATTTAAGCTTAATTAAGACGGCAGCCGCAGCCGGCGAAAGGCAGCATCGTTCGCTGAATGAGGGCGTAGAATGTTGGCAACAAAAGCCGCGCAATGCATTGCGCAGCACATAAATAAATAAGTAACTGAGTGGTTGAGTGGTTAAGTGGTTGCCAGCAGCGGCAGCCACCGACGTCGACGCGTCGTTGTCGATGTCGGTGTCGCTGCCGACGTCAACGCCAAGGTGCCGACTGCGTGCCACATGCATACGCCAGTGGCAATCAGCGCGCTGTCCAGTTTAGCTTCAATGACAGCCCATCGAGCAACACTGCGAGCATTTCGCTGTACATTGGAATTTCGAGGCAACTCATGTTGCCACGCATAAAACTACTTAGACAATGTCAAAAGGCATCATTATTCATGCTAGCAAGCACAGCACTGGCACAGCACCAGCAGCACATGTACGAGCCCTGCACGATTCTCTAGTCTCCATTCTCCGCCAGGCCAAGCCAAGCCAATTCCAATCAGAATAGCGCTCGTCATGTTGCATTAGTAGGAAATTAATGGCACGAGGTCTAGGCACGAACCCTTCACATGGCTCAATATCAGCTCAACTACTGACGCCTTATGTTGATTTTTAATTACCCACACACACACTTACATCCAGATGCAGACATAAGATATGAAAAGCCAATGAAGTGTGTTGAAATTGACTACAAATTCAATGCCATAAAACACCCCCATAAGAAGGCAATTAGTAGGCACGAAATTCATTGAGCTCTGGGTTCAAAGTGTTACACATTACGCATGATTTCAGTGAAACAGGATCAAATTCCACAAAATTAACCAAGTTGCTTGTGGCAAGAAAACTAAGTGACTGCCTTCGAAATACCCTTTGATAAAAAGTCAATGAATCTTAAGACATTTTCTGCGTGGAGCTCCAGCAAACTTGTTTGGAAATTTAATGCTGTTATCATATACATAAATAAGCCTCATACTCTGCAGGGTATACAAAATACGCCAAAAATATAGGCATGAAAATTACAAAAGTTTTCTTAATTGCTCCACGCAGTCGTTACGTCCTATCCCGCCGCGTTGTCCTCTCAAATTAAACGCAAGTATGCAAAGTCATTGTATGAAAAGGCTGACTGCCTGCCGGCCTGCCTGCCTGCCCGCTTGCCCACCCATTCATTCCGGCAGCCCGCCAGCCAGGCAAGCAGCCAGTCAGTCAGTGGGCGTGCACGGCCTGCGTAATGATTAAGCAAACACTCAATCACCCCTTCCCAAACAGCACATTCAATGCCATTCCACACACACTTTCTCACACAGGCCTGAAATGAAGCACATTCAGCTGGGGCAATTGAATTTTTTTTGCCAGCGCATATTGCCCACAGCTCGACTGCTTGGCTTTAAAGCTGTTGCATGCCTGCCTGGGAGATTTTATGAAATATGTAGCATACTTTTACGGGCAGCGAAAAAAACTCAGCTGCAGTTTTATTAAGAGTGAATGCAATATTTACAGAAAATTTGTGCAGTTTTCTGTGCCATGGATTTTAAGCGTATTAAGCTTAAGCGTCTATCGTATGTATGCCACGCCCATCTGCCTGCCATATAGGCGGCAATCCATGCATACAAATACGCGTCATATGCTGGAAACCTTTTGTTTAATGAAGCCGAAGTTGAGGGCGACCATAGATGTCTCTCTGTATATATAAGGCTCTATTTGTGCGTATGTGTGTGACTGAAGGCGTGCATGTGGAAAAACAGTTTTCGAATGAATGCAAGTTTTAATCCTTGAAATATGATTTGAGTGCAAATATTTTGCATAACCATGAGCTCGACTCTTCCATATAGACACACACACACACATACACCCCGACGCAGTCACTTGCGGTTTGCCTACATGGGTGTAGCGTGTGAGTGTGTGTGTGTTTGGATTTTGCCTGCCTCGTGATGTAAGCAGTGACACAATTTCGTTTTTCTTGTGCGTGTGTGTCCGTGTGTGCACTTGTACTTGCCAACCGCAAACACTTCACTCGCTTGAAGGCTGCCCTCCGTGCATAGGCCAGCCGAGCAGCTCTCTGCTCTGACTTCCCCTTCCGCTGCCCACTGTGGCGCATATCCCATTTTCATTCCCTGTGCGTTCATTTTTGCAGCTGCTTGCGGTTTTGAAATGCATTTGCCCTGGCATTCGCTGATGCCCTTTCACTGGTTCAGTGGTTCAGTGGCTCAGTGGTTCATTTCTAAATTGAAACTAAAGAGTTGCCAGTGGCTACCATTGTGGCCACTTGTACACCGTCCGACCACTACTTCAACAGCCGGCGGCCAGCGGGCTTAATGAACAAAGTTTCACTCTGTCACTCTCTCTAAGCCGATGACAAAAGTCAAGCTGCAACCTGACGGGGCTGACGAGTGCTGTCAAGATATAAAGTGTGAGCCCATGCAGGGTCTCTGACATTTTGATTTTTTGTCTGAATTTTTACCTGATGAGTATTTCTTATGAATTTTTTTCTGTCGCTCGCTGTAAACAAATGTTGCACGCTGAAAAGCTGCTGCCACAACTTTGTTTTGCCGTTTTTTCTCCACTTTTGTCAACGAGTTTTTAATATTTGGTGACGAGCGGCGTGAAAACACCTCACTCGGACTTGCAAATAGCACGAAACCAGAGGAGAAAACCAGGCATTTGTAAATAGAGACATTTGATATTTCCGAAACTTGTCTCTCCCGAAGTTAAAGGTAAATTCCGAAATGCTTCGCAAAAATGTTTTATGTAGCGAACAAAACAAATTGAATAAAGTCCATTTATGTGGGTTTCTATAGTATTTTTCGATATCAGCATCGACATCTGCATTTAAAATAAAAATCCCGAACTGTCAAATGAATTATTTAAAAGTTGGCTTTAGGGCGTATGCGTGATATTTGTTTGAATATTTAAAAATGTTACGAAACAAAGCTCTTAATACCTTTACTGTACGCAAAAAGAAAACTTAATCAATTTCTAATTAGTAACTGGAAATTCAGTTAGTTTCCACTATGAAAAATATTAATTGAATTTGATTTTGCCCTGGTACTTCGTTGCAGATATGACAAATGGCGGCGTGCATGGACCCATCGAGGGCTACAACTCGTTAGATGAGATGGCAACAACGCCGTCAGGACTGGCCACAATTCCCACTGCCGCCTACACTCATCCCAAATGGATGGAGCCATATTTTGATCCCTCGACGCCCCGCAATGTCACCGCCCTCATGGGCAAATCCGCGTATCTCAGTTGCCGTGTGCGCAATTTGGCCAACAAAACAGTGAGTGCAAACAACTAACAGCTAGCAGCAGAGAGAGGGCCAAAACTTTTTGCCTGTTCGTGACGATCCGTTCAGCCTTTAAAGTTTTTTGACATTACGCATCCCTCTCGACGGCTGCCACGCCCACCAACTGTTTGGTTATTCTCAGCTTGACTGTTTTTGTTACTGTTGACTTCGTTGATTTGCCAACCTGGTCGGCAGACGCGTTGCCAAAATGTAATTCCCCTAGCATGACTGCGAAATTTTTAATTAGTTACACGCCCAGCCCACATTTTTTTTATGTTCGTATTGTCTGCGACGTGCTGTGCTGCGCGGGGATGCACGATAGGACCTTTTCTTGATGGCGGCCTTCGTCCTAAGTCCTAAGTCCGTATTAAGTTGTTTTCTTTTTAGAAATTTAGAAATTGTTTCATTCAGCGCTGCTGTAAGCTACAGACTGTTATTGCAATTGTTTCCTTTGTTTATCTGCTTTAATTGCGCCCTGCCACGTTGTGTCATCTATTTAAGAGACAGCCTGCCAAGCTGTAGCTCCCAGGACAACCTGCCAAGCTGCCGCCTGTTGGGAGACTTGTTCTGCCCTCTCAGAGGGACTCGAAGTGGGCATTGATCGACTGAGACTGTAAGCTACACTGTTAAAAAAATATGTGAGACTGAAAATAATCAGTAAGATTGAATATAATATACAGGCCTTGACAGGATAAACTGGAGCAGTCCATAGATATACCATAATAAGCCACCTCAACACCGACTTTCATGAATTTCAGTGTATTAGTACCTGAGTCATTTGCTTAACAGAATATATAACATTTTTTTTTATTTAATTAGTACAACGTATGTTTCTTCTGCTGAATGTATATTTGGGGACGCGTGTAAATATTAAATGAAATGAAATGTCTGACTGTCAGGGATCTGCCGTCTGTGCGTGACAATTTTTTATCGGCCCCTCTCTGAACTTTTTTAATATGCGTAACAGACAAGTTTATGAATAATTAGGCAACGAAAGTGTTGCGCAGTGCGATTAATCACTGGAGTCCCCCAATGAGCAGCACGTGCCCGCTGCCCGGGGTGCACAGCGTGGCGGAGACGCGGCAGGGAAGGGCGAGTTGGTGCGGGGCTTGGTTAGAAACAAGTGCTTGCCTAAAAGATTCGAACGCTCATTAACAAACAATGCGTCGCACGCGGTGGTAAGGCAAACAAACAGGGCTTCAAATGCCAAACACCAACAAACTTTTAGCACACGCGCCGAACTACCAAGCACTTGACATAAATGCGCCAACGGCAGGAAGAGGCAACAGCAAAAGCAGGAGCTATAGCAGCAGTAGCAGCAGCAGCAGCAGCAGCAGAAGTTTGTGGCATCAGAAGGACTTGCAGCATGCAGCAACTTTTAATTTCTTGGCAACACACAAAAGCGTCGAGTGGAAGTTGCCACACGTCAGCGACTAACTGCTGTGGGCGGGTGGCCCTTTTTGCTGGCCACGCCCTCATGCCACCACGCCCCACTCCACGCTGTCCTCCCGTGCCACAAAACACTTGCAATTGCATTTAAGCGCGAAATTATTTAAACAATTTCGTGAAAATTGCACTCGCCGCACGCGTCAACAGCACTTGGCGCAGTCCGAGCCGAGAAAACCAAACAACAAACCGAAACGAGCTCAGCAGAACATGTGCTATGGGTGTGTTTTGATGGGTGTGTGTGTGTGTACTTAAAGGGGCAGTGGCATGTGTATGTGTGTATTGCACTAGAGGCATTGCTGCTAATATGCCGGAGACTGGGCATAGGAACAAAGGGGAACCGCGTGCATTGGGACACTGTCAGGCGATGCGTGCTTTGTTGCTGTTGCTGTTGCTGTTGCTGTTGTTGTTGATAGAGCACAGCGTGCACTTGTTAATTACACTTTAATTTGTTGCGTAAAATGTTTGTTTAATGGCAGCCCCTTGTCGACATGTTTTTCACACTTTTATACACTCATTGCGGTCCACATGCGTCGCACAAAGCTGCCGAACCGTCAGCCCGCCAAGTGGCTCTGGCTTGTTCGATGTGTGTGGGGTCCGCCATTGTTTAGTGTGCAACAACATTTCGTATAATTAAACGCACGCACCAAAATGTGCCACGCCCCATAAAGTGAATGGCTGTGTGGGGGTCTGCAGGCAACATTTTGTAAGTTTTTGAAGCACGGCAACTGGCAACTGCGATAATTTTGCATTTGCATTTGACTTAATAAGTTGTGCATATCAAGCGTCAGACAGAGACACAAGTACACACAGAGGGAGGGAGAGTAACAGATAATGCGAGATAGAGAGAGACAGAAAGACTGCAATGCTGTTTAGCATTAAGCTTACAAAGTTGTATCTCAGCGCTGCAACTACTTAAAAAGTTTGTTATAATTAAGCAAAAGCTAAAAACAACTCAAAACTCACCAGCAGCAAAAGACCCAAAAAAGCAACTGCTGTTCCAAACGCACTCTCAACATGCCCATGCCCAGATTTATCAAGGATTACGACACGGCCATAAACTTGCCGTAGCCAAACAACAGCAGCAACAACAACAACAATCTCATGTGCGTACGTATACATCACGTTGCGTATACGTCATGTGCGCCATCAACTTGGATGAGATACGCGTCCATTAACAATGCGAGAATTTGCAATGGCTGCTGATTAATCGCTGAAGGACATCCAGCCAACTCACACACACACTCAGAAAGAAAAGGAAATTGAGGAACCCTTGTGAAACCCTTACGCATTTCATTCGATTTTGATTGCACTGCGACAGCAATTCGTTTTTCAATTGCTGCATTTTTAATGCCAGTTTTTACCTCTGGCCATAAACAAAAAGATTTTGGATTGTTATACCCAGCTTTTAGTCAAGTTGTTAGAACGGGGTATGTTGATTATAGAAGTGGTTGAATGGAGAAGCATTAGGCTACGTCCACTTAAAATTTAATCAAGTAAATCATCTCTTTTCAACTATCGCAGCTTTATTTCCTTTTAACTATAGAGCGTTTCCCCTTTCGAATCGTCCACACTTTGATATCGTGTACTTCATTTGATTGACATTTCGTGCAATACCTTTGTTTGCTTGATTTTCGTTTTTTCGTGCAGGTATCCTGGATACGGCATCGGGACATACACATATTGACAGTGGGCTCCTATACGTACACGTCCGATCAGAGGTTTCAGGCCACACATCATCAGGACACCGACGACTGGACGCTGCAGATAAAATGGGCCCAGAAGCGAGATGCGGGCATGTACGAGTGCCAGATATCAACACAGCCCGTTCGCAGTTATTTTGTACGTCTAAATGTTGTCGGTGAGTACGAATGGGTAGTCATACGAGTATGAGCATGAACATGAGTCTGAGTATGTGGATACAACTGCCCGCTCCTACAAAGCGATTACGTTTGAGTTGGTGAGCATCAGGAGGCATTGGCATCGACAGCGGCGCTGCCTCTGGCTCTCGCTTTGGCTTCATGAAATAAAAAAATCAACCATTTGTCGCAAATAACAAAGCCAAAGGACACTCGCGCCACGAAGGCAAGCAAAAAAGTTGTTGAGCAAATAAATTACATACAGCAAACGAGTGAGCAACACGCACAGTCCAAACGAAGAGACGAAGACGACGATGAGCATAAGGATGAGGGCAATGTCGAGTAGCAGGGCGATGGAACGTCGAGGACTTGGTTTTTATACGACAATAATTTCATTTTATCTTGTAGTTTATTATTCTACAGTGTCAGCCAGGCTTGCAGACCTCGAGCCTCCTACCTATGCGACCAGCCAGTCAGCTTTGGCCGTGTCTGACTCGTTTTAACAGCGTTTTTTCTCCAAGCATTACTTTTTCTTATACCTCCCCGCTCTATACACTTCTCCTTTTCGTTTCTTTTCGGTGACTCGTCTGCGTTTTTCATTGGTGTTTCCTGTTGACAGTGCCAACGGCGACCATACTTGGCGGACCTGACCTTCATGTTGATAAAGGCAGCACCATAAATCTCACTTGCACTGTGAAGTTCAGCCCCGAGCCGCCGGCCTACATATTCTGGTACCATCACGAGGAGGTAATTAAACTTTATTGTTACAATTGTAGCGAAAATTTGGTTTCTTCTTCTTTTTCCTTTCTATTATTATCTTTTTCTGTTTTATGTGTCATTTTGACAGTCGGCTTGTCCGACAGTTAAACTAGTTGCTAAAACAAATTAAATATTCTTAATGAGATTCATTTTTAATTAGTTATTTTCAAGCATTTACTTACAATATCAGTTGGGCTTTATCGATGAGTTCGCTGTTTCTGATTTCATCTGTGCAACGCGTCAGCACTGAGGCCTTCCCGAACTGAAGTTTCAATCAAAGAAGTTGTCGTTTCACCGCATCTGCAGTGCATGGCGAGCCGATGACATAATTTAAAGTGACAGTCGTTGATATTTAATGTGTAAATGAACACAGTTGCATGTGGCAAGTGGAAAAAGTGGGTCAATGGGGCTTCAGTGCACGCACGGAATATACTTGGCGCAACACAAATATCAGCTGAACATGAAAACAACAGCATGGTGATCCAGGTGGTTACATTGTCCTGCAATAAGCTGGGCGCTCTTCGTCCCGTTGGCCGACAATTAGTTGCGTTAGTTGCAAGCGATTTAAGCAGCATAAACAGCCTGGCTAATTGCGCGGCATTAAAAGCGCTTAAAGCGCTCCAGGACCAGGGTCAACAGTGAAAGGGACAGAGAGAGAGAGCAAGAGAGAGAGGGATAGAGAGTCCTAGACGTAGTCGTTATAGTTCCCAGCTAATTGCAATGCAAATGCCAAGCAAAACAGCGACGAAAAACGGAGTAAAAAAAGGAAATGTGACTTGGGCCAAAGGCAAAGAGAAGGCGCATTTGCTGGCAACGTGTTAAAAAGTGCACAAATCCTGCTGCCAACTACTGTTGCTGCCGCTGCTGCTGCTGCCGCTGACTCTGCCGCCGTCTCTGCTACTGCTGAGTTCTGGCTAGCACTTGTACTTCTGGAATTTTCTAATTAAAATCCTAGCAGAGCCACGCGCCACAATTGTGTGCCTCTGGCAGGTGGCCTTACAAGTATGTATGTGTGGAGTGGTATGTGTGTGTGTGTGTTGGGTGTGTGTGTAGCCACAACCTTAGCACAAGTCGAGCGTCCTTGCCCATGCTGCACACGGATTATTTACGATCCATGCAAATTTGCTGTTAATTAGTTTAATGGATGGATAAACTTAGTTGATGCACTTGCTCCTGCCAAGCGCTGCGCTTAAATGTATGCAACACTTTTTTTGTTAGCGCACATCCGCTTGCTAATTGTAATTAACGTGTTACATATTTCCTCTCTCAGTGCTGGCTCGCCTGACTCTCGCTTCCTCTGCTTTGCATGCGTTTCCGCATTGGCTTCTGGCATATGTCCGTCCGACACGAGGGTCGCCCATAAAGCTGTAGCGAATTATGAGTGGACATAAGATATTTAGGAGTACTTAACCCTGAAACTGAGTCCAGCTTAAGCTGTAACTTCTCAAGCTGCCCTCGCTAACAACAGTTGTAATATGCATAGCGCTTAAGTGTGCGGCCGGCAAAAGTTTCGTGAGCTGTTGGGTAGACTTAGCCAGCTATTAGCTGACTGTCAGCCGCGGCTTCAGTTCAGCTGCACGCCTGCGACAGGCAGCTGCTAGCGGTTCTGCTGTTCTGACAGCGTGACAGACTTTTATGTACATTTAACTGCTTTGGTTTTTTGCTATGCTCGATTATTGTGTTGGCAAGTGCCACATAAATCGGATATATGCGCATTTTTAGTATGTTTCTTTTATGTTATTTGATTCTGTGTGTGTTCCAAACAGCTGCAGTTGTCCGATGGGGTAGTAAAATTGTAAATTTTTGATGCAGCCGCTCCTGTAGCAAAATTTTATTCCAATTCTCATAGCCGGTAAATGTGGGGATGTCAGTTTGCCATTTGGCATTTACCAGTCTGTCAGCTCTGTCTGCCTGTCTGCCTGTCTGTATGTCTGACAGTCTGCCTGTCACAATAAGCCGTCGCTTTCATTAACCAATTTGCGAGCAACAATAACAACAAAAGCAACTACAACTACATACATTATAATACAAATACGAAATTTATGCTGATAGCGACGACAGCAATGGACTATAATGGCAACCAGACTTTCGTTAGTTCCCACCCTCCACCTCCCTCATCTACTCCCTGCCCCAATTCGCCGCTGATAGGCAAACTTTTTACTTGCTTGTGCAAAAGTTGTTAAGCCAAAGTTTCGGGCATTGTCATTGTTTTTTTATATGTCTATCCGCATTTTCATACCTACAGCTATATGCCGTATGCCTTGACTGTGGCTATAGAAACAGCTGCATGGACGTTTGCCTATCGTCATCATTATCAGCGACGCCAACTTTTCTTTCATTTTTCATATTATTGCAAATGCCGTCGATTAGTTGAGATTAGACAGCAAATTATGCGCCAGTTCCCCGCGTCCACTATGCTATACCTCCCTGACCCGCCCTTCTCCTCATGCAGAGGACACATACAGCTGCTCATTTCCTCTGGCTCTGTGTTGGCTCCATTTTCTTGTCGCTGTCAACGACATGATGTGTTAATGTCAGCTACTTGCTCCGCTCATTGCCGTCAGTCCTCTATCTACCCTCGCTCTCTTTTTCTCTCCATCTGTCCTTGCTCTCTGAACTTGCCCTGTATATCGGAATTGGTATTGGTATTGGTAAATTATTCTGGTATTTGTTTTTGTCAGCGCTTTGAGCATCTGCTCCGTTTTGTGACTCAATATGCATCTGGATTTGGCTGCTGTTAGTAGCACTCGGCAGTCGACATTTGACTTTTGCCCTGCTATTTACCCCCTACGCCCTAATCGATAATGAAGTTGACTTTGATGGCGGTGGCCTCTCGCACAGAATGTCATCGTCATAATGAGCCATCGCTTGCTCTAAGTCCAAGTGAGCCCGAAGCAGACTCTCGCCCACTTGATTAGCATAATTTTTGTAGCTAACTATAAGTGGCGCCCACGCTGTCTTGCGTCTACTCACATCTCTCTTTCTATCTCTCTCCCTGGGGAACTAAGGATCCTTTGATATAAGCTCCGTTAAGTCAACTTTAATCATGCGCGCGACTATCAAATTCCAATTAAAATCGCAATTTTAAACGCATTTTCGGCTGATAGACAGCAGAAACGAGGGTAGAGGGTGGCGGTACATTACTGAAAAGTAAACAAGACTCGCTGACATGTCGCTGATTTGTAATGTCAGTCAAGCGCAGCTGTTGCTACGCTCCACACACAGTCGACTGCCCCTCCACACCGCCTCCACCCAATGCTGTCACACGCATTTGAAAATTACAAAAAAAAAATGCGAAATTCAAGCATACGTTAAAAACCATATTTACGGAAAAAATCCGAAGTGAACGGCACTCGCTTATTATTATATGCCGGCAGCCCATCTCTCCATCAGCATAAAAAAATACATTTGCTGCTCCTCATCCATTGTTCTCACATTATGTTTGTTTTCTCAGAGCGGGCTCCACCTACTCTGCTTTCTGTTTGAGCCTACACTCACTCACTAACCGGGCCTTTTGGCGTAATGCTCTTCCATTTGCAGGTCATTAATTATGATTCATCAAGAGGCGGCGTGTCGGTAATTACCGAAAAGGGCGATGTGACAACCTCATTTCTGCTCATACAGAATGCAGATCTGGCCGATTCCGGCAAATACTCATGCGCCCCCTCCAATGCAGATGTTGCCAGCGTGCGTGTGCATGTTCTAAATGGTAAGTACCTACCGACACTACCAGACTACCAGAGTAGCAGTGCAGCTCACACACACACTAACACGCGCCCACACACAGACGCACGCACTCACACAGATTTTAACACTAATGTATGTACGTGCAGCCACTGTCTGTGCGCTGTGTAAAAAGTGTTGCATGCATCTAGGCGCCGCTCGTAACAGCACAACAAAGGCGTGCTGAGCTGTGCTGTGTGTTGTTGCGTTAGTGCTGCAGTGATTGATTACCTCAGCACATATAATGATTGCAGAAACAAGATTGGACCTATATGGAAAAAGTATCAAAGCAAAGTCTCTGAAATTATTATTTCGTATATTTGTTTGTTTCTACATATTTTTTGTGTCTGTCAATTAGAGGGTATTTTGCAGCACAGACTGAAATACTTAAAAAGGTTACATTAAGTACCAAAGTAGCAGCGAAGGCAGCTGTAGCCATGTTGCATGCCTCTGTCGCTGATGTTTTTGGCATTTTAGCAAATTTGTGCGCAATATCCAATGGTGCCGAGGCACATGACTAAGAGGAAAGCGGCCCAGAGTGGACATGTGCCACGGGCAATGGCGTACATATCCATGACAGCACAGCGGCAACCGCAACGGTGGGTCATTTTATGAAGTCACAATTGCGTGCGACGGTGTTGCATGCACTTGTCATGTGATTGACGTTGCCGCGAGCTAAGTGGCAAGTCGTGCCAAGCGTCAGGCTTCAAATGGCAATTGAAATGGCCAAAGACAATAGATACAAATCAGCTTAAGGCAGATTGGGCGGATGTGAATGCTGTTGTTGCTGCGGCACACAACTGCCACAAAACACGACTTCCGCTTTCAATTTGGCACAGTTCCGACATCTTGTGGCCGCTAGCTGGGCATTGCGCCGCAAATCTATAAATTCTGCAAGACGCCTGTTCAATTCGTTTGATTTCCACCCGGACTGGCAGCAAAGAACTGCAGCACATGAATGGGCAGTAGCAGCAAGCGAAGCAACCTAGAAATGGGGCAGCCATATTTCGGAATCGTTGCTTGATGTTGCCCCAGGCGCCAGTTGTTGCTTGTTTTTGGGCACAAATGAAACACATAATCGCATCAATTATGAGCAAATTAATTAGCACAGTGCGGTTAATTGGTGAGGACGACGACGCCGAACAAGAAGACGAAGACGAAGACGAGCAACAGCCACAAGCCAGCCAAATGAGTGGCACGGCTGATGGCGTAGTGGCCATTTGGGGCAAGAACGTATACGGATGCGAGCGACGTTAACAAATTGCAATCGGGACCTGGGATGGCTGGGAAGGAATTGTTGCAATTTGCCAGTATAATCGCTGTCGATTGGCGTGGATTTGACACAGTTAAAATAAATTACGTAATTGTGAAAGGAAAGCAACAACAACAACAGCAGCATCGAGTGCAACCACACAACAATACAATGCCAGTGACAGCACACAGAATGGCATGCAATTTAAGCCGGTGCACACAGCTGGCAATGGGATTGGGCCTGAGGTTAGAGTCTCGTTGCCCTCCATGGCTGGCCCCGGTCTGCTCAGCTGGCACGTTTTTCAATCATGCTAACGGCGCCTGGGTGACCAAAGCCCGCCTCGTCCTCAGCCCCCAGCCTGGCTGCCCGCAGGCCGCAAATGGACCGCAAATGGCAGCGTGCGGAAATCCATGCTGCAGCTATTGTAAACGTTTGCCAGCCATTATGCATGAGTGCATAGAAATACGTAGTGTCACACTTATACCACACCCAGCCCACTCGCTCAGCTATTCGCTTGCAGGTGCAGCTGGGCGGTAACAAAATAATGAAGTGGCTGGCAATGCAAACGACCCACAGGCCACACTCTCCCAATCGCAAATACCACACAAAAATCCAATTCTCTAAGTTTTTGCACTGCATCGAAATGAAAATACTCTGTACAGGCCGTAAGCTGAAATTGAAATTAAGTTTACAGGTGGCAAAAGGCAAAGATGTGGCTATCTAGAATTTTATTTATAAGTAATATTAAAGTAGCTAATATATATAAATGTATTATCTACTCCCACATTTCACTTAAATTTTTAAGAATATAAAAGAATTATTTGAAAAACTTTTTCCTACAAGTAGCTAAAACAATTTAAAGTGTGTAAGCCGCTTAATTTGTTTCTATGTTTAAGCCAGCTTAATCAAAAATGTTTAGCTTAAAGATTTTTATTTTTTTTTCATATTAATATATTTAGAGCCAAGACTTTTCATATCAAAAGTAATAATAATATTCTATTCAAATATGCAAATTTTGTGTGCCAAACGTGCGATGTTATCTATTGTTGCTGCTGCTGTTGATGTCGTTGTTGCTGCTGTTGCTGTCCTCTTGATTGACACCACAACCAATGGCATTTCATGGCTAAGTCGATGACTAACAACAGCAAAATCAGGCTAACCCTCAAAAGCTGGTCTACAGCAGTGGGAGATGTCTGTGTGTGTGGGTGTATGGGTTTTTGGGCAACAATGTGGCTGCGATTGCTGACAGCCACTACAATTCACGCGTTAATGGCATCAGCAGCAACAGCAACAACATGAGGCAGCAGAAGAACGAGCCCAACAAGGGCAACCCACAAGTTGTGACAGGCAAACAAAACGGAGCCTTCTCTTTGACCAGTGTGCAACGTGGACGTGGCCCAACTTGTTAGCCATCACTAACACACACACACACATACAGACCCCTACGCACATGCCGTTCATGTCACTACGCAGTTGGCATAACAAACTGCAACAGATAGAGAGACAGGGAGAGAGAGACAGCGAGCGAGCAACGAGCAGCGAGCGTTATGGTATTTTTGGGGCCGTGTGGCATGCTACACGCTTATTGCCTCACGAAGTTATGCGTAGCGCTCGCATGGAGTGGAGCGTATTGAACCGTTGACACAAAGCCAATGTATGCAAGCGTATCAATAGTATGGAAATGGCCAACTGACAACCCATCTACGTCACTCTCTCTCTCTCTCCCTCTCTTTCTTTGTGGCTCTTAACAGTCTATCTCTTCTTACTGCCTCTTTCGCTTGTTGGTATGTCTGGCCAAGCCAAGTTCGCCTGCAGCTGTTTCATTTGCAGTCAATCTGCGTGTAGACCTTTGCTGTTTGAATTCAAATGCTGCTCGTGAAACGCAAAGTCACTTGTAGGTTCGTACACTGTGCTACACGCGCGCATTTTTTTCACTGTAGATCAACTCTGGCTGAGTTTCATGTGAATTTTTAAATAACTGTCCCAGGCTCTGCTAAATATTTGCAGATTAAACTTCTGTTTTGTGGCATATTTTCATTTCTTTTTTCCTTGTTCACTTCGTTATTCCCAGAATTTGATTTATTATAGGTTATTTCAAAAAGTTCTTGGAAGTATTAATCTGTTTTTACATCATATGGAAATAATTTGTTCCTAGTAATTTCTAATGGATTTTTAAACACAATTTGAAAACTTTTCCCCTGCATTATATGAAAATTATTTGCATTTGTTGTTTGTTTTGCAAATCCTATGCAAATAAATTCACAACTAGTCCAAAATGGGTTTAAATGAAGCTGGAGCCACAAGCAGAAAACATCGACGTTTTAATGAAGCATGAAATAACCAAAAAGTTTTTGTGCGCAATTGAAATGCATGATTAAATGGAATTTCTAACCACTGTGCGTTGGTCGGGCCACCTGGAAAGCTAGCAAGCGAAGCACACAACAACAGGTGAGGGCGTATGCGGGCAATCGACTGTTGAATTCAGCTAGCGCTTGCTTTCACCTGCTTAAATCGCTGTGACGGCTCTTCAATTTGGCTTAAAATTGAGCATAATGAAAACTTGCAGCACGCTGCTTGCTGCTTGCTGTTTGCTGATTGCTGTTTGCTGCCTGCTGCCTGCCCCTTCCTGTTGGCATAGTGCGTGCTCCATTCAATTAATGTCCTTGCTATTTTAGTAGTTTGGCGCATGTGGCAGCTGTTGCGGTTATTTGTAAGCTGGGATCCTTGGACGATTTCATATTGATATTTGTGTGACAGGGCATAAGGTCTTTGCCGGGGCGTAGTTTACACTTGAGAAATCAAACGAAAGCCCCTGACCGAATACATATAACATACGATGGCAATCAGACCCAGAACAAATGTCCTGCCAGCTGCCGCTGCTGTTGCTGCTGCTGCCAGCAACAACAAAAGTTCAACTTTCGATTTATTTTTGTCAGTTTGAAATTCCTTGGCTATTTGTGTAGCGCTTTTGTTGTCGCACAGCGTTTCCTGTGTCCTGGCTTAACTGCCACTCCAGCTACTACTGCAGCACCTGCAATAAGACCAAGGGCTCGCCACGCTCATCAAATGCCAAATGCCAAGGAGCCATCGGAGCTGCAAAGCCTTGACCTGCCTACTAAGACAACGGACTCACGGCAAGCAGCAGCAGCAACAGCAGCAGTCAGTCCAGTTCTCATGGTTCAGTGCACGTATCGAAGTCACTCGCTGCTACACTTGAGCCACACGGCCACACACACAAATCCTTTGGCCAACTTTAGCTCAGCTTGCAACCTTGTCTCTCTGTGTATGGGTGCCTGTGTGGGGATTAGCTTTGTATTTTGTCACAGGAAATTACATTTCGCCTTAAGGATGCCAGAGCGCAAAAATTTCGCTTCATTGTTTGCGCCTGTGTGTGTATGTGGGTGTATGTAGGAGGTCGCAGTCCGAAATAAGGTGCATGTCCTGTGCGACGCTTAAGGATTGCGACTGCGACTGCTATAACTACGACTACGACTCCGACTACGGCTATGGCTACGGCTACGACTATGTTGTCGTTCTATCTAATCGTGTGTACGTGTACAAATGTCGTTGTGTGAGCTCAGGTTCGTTCCGCTCCACTCCGATTTCGACCTAACTGGCCAACATCCTTTTACCTGCAGCAAACGTAACTTTGGCTCCATTAGTATTTACACTACAACTTCCAGTTGGCATACATACATGCACAGGTAATAAACACAAGCACACACACACACGCGCGCACATATACAATTTCTACACTTCCTGTGTGTGTCTCAGTGTCAGCTCACGTGGTTACATCTCCTGGGCCAAATAACGGCATGTTCCTGCTAGCTGATCTAGAGACAACTAAACTTCGTTCAGCACTTAGCTCCAGCCAGAACATCAGAGCCGCATTGCGTTGTCTGCGTGCATATTTAAATGAGTGTGATGGCTCCGTGTTGATAGACCAACTCACTAATACACTGCCCGAGAGCAGTTGCATTTTAATTCAGATATTTGCCAACTGATAGCTGAGCAAATTGGCACAGGCTAAGGATAAGAATCAAGTTAACGGAGTATGCGGACTGTGAAATGAGAGTAAGTCCATTTTAATTACTGTCCTCCATTGGAATTTCGAATGGCAAACGAAATACGATGGCACAAAGTGTACTTTAAAATTCCATTGAGTTATTAATTAATTATGACAAATCGACGTACAGTGAAGGAGTGCGCTGGAGAACGGTCTTATGTGTACAAGTAGGGGAATATTTAAGGGTGGAAATGGACTTGGGGCAAAGTATTGAGGAATTTAAAGCATTTAATTCAAACCAAATTATTTGGTGAATCAATCTGCGACTCTTTCCCTTTAATCATAATGTGTTTTGCATATACTAAAATCTTAGTCTCATCTTCTCTTCTATTAACTTATAGTAAAGAGTAGACAGCATGTTTTCTTTGAGTGTATCATGCACTGCTGAAGCTCTGACTAAAAACTTTAGCCATAAGTTATGATGACTTATCCGTGAGCGCCTATGCCTCAGTCAAGCTCTCTAGGCTGCCGCCTCTCTGCCTTGCTGTTCATATGAAGGCAATCCTAGGAGATTGCCGTCTAACTTAATTCGGGCCATGTTCAACGAGCCACTGAAAGCCGCAGCTAGTCTAACAAACTCCTTCATAGCACACGCACGCTTGCACACACACAGCCACACACACACACACACGCACTCACGCACACACTGGCATAAATCCGCAGCTAATAATATACGGCTTTTGTTTATTAGATTCATACATTTTGCAGGCAGTTGTGTGAAGCGTGCGTGCAGTGCGGGCAGTGGTGTGGCACTCATTATGTTTGCTTTTATGGCCGCACTGCGTGCTCCAATGGGGCACCCAGCACCTTCTAGCTGCACAGCAGCCAGGCCCCTTTTAGGGCCAGCTTCTGGCTGAAGTGATTTTAATAAAATTGGCAAAGCGTGTAGGTAGGTAGGTAAAAACCACTTGGCTAATACAAAGGCATGGCAGATGGGTG